TTTTCTCCTATACACTTCAAATGTCAGTATAGAGGTCAAAGGTTACAGGTTTCTTTCTCACCTTAGCTCCTCCAGGCAGACTTTATTCCTAAGCCGTACATCTTCAGTGATGGGATAGAGGAGCAGGATCATTAAGCCCGTGACGATGAAGGCCACTGGGGCGGCGCCGATCAGCAGCTTCAGGGTGTACACCACAGGGGGAGGCTGCTTGCAGGCGCCTGTGTCGTATCCTGCAAACCTACAAGCAATGACGGAGAGGCTCTGTTAAAATGCGCGAGAGGAAATGAGCATCAGGCCGGACTGTGCAGCCCTGCAAATGAGCAAACTCGACACCTTTCGTGTGATGAATTATGCATCGCACCAGGGGTTAATGCATTTCGGTGAGGTATCATGCTAAGTGCAGACGTTTATCATGCATGTGTAGCAGTAATGCAGACTTACTCCAGGCAGAGGGTGGACACTCCCAGGGAGATCCCAGAGGCAAATTTGGTGAAGAAGACATAGAAGGAGTAAAAGATGGCTTCGTGGCCTTTACAGTAGGGGTTGGCCAACCTGAAGTCATCCACCACATCTGGCAGCATCGACCTGGATTGAAGCACAAAAACAGGCGTGCAGAGCTGAATGAGCATGTGTCGTTTGTCACAAAAGTTCAACATCACAGTGAGCCATGGTAAAACTTTAAGCTGATACGCGCCGAGACCTCCCTCGTGCTCTTACTTAGGTTATCTCACACGTGCAGTCAGGATGGCAGCGCGCAGCGATGTGAGGTCAGAGCTCTGATATACCAGTGAGCCAAAATTACAGAGCTAATAACACGATTAGATGATGAGCAGCGGGCGGGACAGGATAAACAATCAGCCCCTTCCAAAATAAACAGGCCCCCCTCAGGAGGCTGTAATTTAGGTTTTTAAAGGGAGGGGAAAAGAGATGAGTGAGGAGAGGCGAGGGCCTTAGCAATGACTGGAAAACAGATGTAGTGATACCTCCGGCGTTCCCGGGGCTCTGTGATGGTATGGAAGATTTATAGTAGACGGGTCCTGTAATTCTTAAAAATGACATCATTTCATGACCGTGGCATGACCTTGGTGAGCGCTCAGTGCCCTCTGACAGAATGGCTTGATTAATGACATTTTGCATCAAATCAAAGGGGATTAAAATGAACAGCAGAGCGTACATATAGCAGGGTTGAATTTAGGTAAACAATATCAGCGGCTTAGGGGATTTCAGTTTTATTTAATCCTTTATAACAAGGGGCGGGGCAACCAAATTTATATTACTTAGCAGATGGCAGGGACGCTCACGGGACCGTTCACT